CCTTGAAAAGTACTCTGTCTCATTACTATTTCTAAATTTTAGGATTAACTATTCCATATAATGAAGCAAATAGAATCAAAGCCCATTTGCTCTTATTTTTCTAATAAAGAGTATTTGTTTGTTTGCCCATAAGGAACCCCGATAATCATTTCAGGTGAGATTTAAGAAGAGATGTATTGTTATACCTGTAACCTGATATATGTTGTCCTGTGATGGGGGTTGAAAGGTATCCTTATTTCTTTTTGGGTCTTCAAGATTCTTGTGGCTGTTCTCCAGATTCCTAGCCACAAAGGAACACCTGCAGTATCTGCTCACTTCTACTTAAACACTATTCCCCAAACCATAGATCCTACTGCATTGTTTCTGTAGCTCCCATCAGTCCATTACTGAGATCAAGGATTGTAGATCATCCCCTTCCCTTTATAGACATTAGCTAAGAAATAGAACAAACTAATCAAAGGACAACCATGAATCTTTTTCCTTCTCAGATAAGCTACTAGGTGGTGAAAACTCTAGCTGAATACAGCTTTTTTATGATTATATTAGATTGTAATCTGTTTCAGCAAGATATATTTTCTTAGAGCTTATGTTTTAGAAATTCAATAAATATTACATACAAGCATTACAACAAATCCATTTCATCTGACTTATGTTGAAAGAATTATTCTGAGTCCATCAGAGAGCATTTACTTCTAGCAATGGAAGCTATATATCTGCTCTTGGGGCAGCAATCAGCCAGGATTTCTATAATAAATTGGATTTTGCTAATTATTTGAGAATAACAAGCCATCAGTCATCAACTGAATAACATATTATATGTCTTATAAAGTTTTCTGCAGTCTTGCATCCACTAGAATTTTCTTAGGAAACAGCCAGCTGTCCATGAAAATATGCTGTTCACCACTCCTTCAACTAATATAGAATGGAAGGAAGGAATGTGGAAGGAAGAAGGTGGCTCATGGGGTTAGGATGCTGGGTTGGCGGTTAGCAAGCCTAGGTTCAAGACCTGCATGCTGCTGTGTGGCAAGTTCTGGGATGTGTCTATATGGGATAGAGAGGTTGCCACCTTTCAGGTTGCTTGAGTGACCAGCCACAGGGGTGGAGGAGCTCAGTGCCTAAGACCTGTGAATAGGGTTATTTCTATGCAGAAGAGTGGTGGTGTTTTGGAAAAGCACTAAACTTGATTCCAAAAACAGTTCAGTTCACAAATCAAAGGGTAGAGGAGAGATACAAGGTGAACTTGGAAGGAGTTTCCTTGATGCCTTGGGAAAAACCTGAAAAAGTCCATGAACTAAGCAAAATGGTATAGGCGTAAGCAAGACAAAGGGCCTCTATACAATCATTAAAGAGGGCAATCTCAATCAATCAATCAATCACTCACTCACTCTAGGATCAGCAAGGCAGCCAGGCTCTGGGCCAGCTACAGATTAGGGTGCTAATCAACACAACATCTATATCCCCACAAAGCCGAAAATCTACAGAGTTGTCCCCTATCTACTATATGAATGTGAGTCCTGGACTCTGTTCTAAGGACACATAAAAAAAACTAGAGAAATTTCACATGCAGACTTTCCACTCCATCCTGCCAAGACTATGATTTCAATCTGGAGGTCTTTGATCACATGGAGCCCACCAACATTGAATCCCCGATTACCCAGATGTGGTAAGTGGGACATGTCATCAACAATGGAGACCATTGCATGGCTCACCAGTTGCTTTATGGTGAACTAGAGCCTGAAAAGAGACCTTAGATAGCCCACGCAAGTGCTACAAAGACATTAAGAAGGAAACCATATATCACTGTAACATCCAGTCAAGAGAACTAGATATACAGTTGCAGAGAGAACTCACTAGCGATCCCTTTGCTGTGAAGCCTATATCAGTTTTGAAGACAACAAAGCTGGTCAAAAACTGATGGAAAATTGTGAGTGGTATCACAAATTAACACCCAAAGTTATTGAAACAATGGGCAGCCAATGGCCCCATTATGCTAGACTCTGTGCTTCCAGACTGGAACCACATAGCCACCTCCATGTTCACAGATGAATGGCAGAACAGTGTGTCTTCTTCAAACCTGTAAGACCACAAGACTATATATTACTGACTCTGTACTTAAGAGAACAAGAAAGAGTCCAGTCTGAAATGCTTTCTCAAATTATATTTATGCTTTGGGATAGGGCTTCTCTTATCTGATCATTGTCTTGGTTGCCGCTTTTCTCTTCTATCTCAACATTATTTTCACAGCCCATTACAAACTGTAATCAAGTAACTTTTGATTAAGATTGAGAGCGTTTTAACAAACTGCATCACTGTTTGGTTTGGTGGCAGCAGTGCTTCAGATAGAAGGACCATACAGAGAGTGGTAAGGACAACTGAGAAGATTATAGGAAGCTCACTTCCCATTATTCAGAATACTGCTTATAAGCGCTTATGTGCTCAGACAATGAAGTATTGTTAGAGACCTCACACACCCACTTCATGGTCTGTTTCTGTTGCGCCCCACTGGAAGGAGATTTCAAAGTATCTATAGCAGAACTACTAGATTCTGTAATAGCTATGATCCTTATGCCATCCGTCTTGTAAACTTTCAAGATTCTTTTTTTTTTTTTGCCATGTATATGTGATGTTTCTCTGTGTCATATATGTGTGTGTATGTGGGTATATACATAATGGTTAACTTTTGAGAGTTGAATGCAGCAAAATTTCATTTTAATGAATGCTGATTAGTGTACATTTAAAGTGACAATAAAGTATTCTCTTCTCTTCTCTTCTCTTCTCTTCTCTTCTCTTCTCTTCTCTTCTCTTCTCTTCTCTTCTCTTCTCTTCTCTTTAGAATGTTACAGGCTGTGACTTGGAGAAGCCTCTGTTTCATGTTAACTTGGCACACTCTTTTCTAATCTGGTACCCTTCACATTTATTGGGATTAGGACTCTCAAAGTCCTGAGGCACCATGGCAGTGTGGACAGCCCCTTGGGGGGAAGGCTAATTTAAAAGTAATAGAATTACTGTGCATTGAAGGTGCCAAAGTGGGTCTGGGGAAAATAGTAATCAAACAGCAATTTCAATATCTATAAATCCAGGATCAGCTTTAAAGATTTTGCTGCTTGGAAAAAGCAAGTGTGCTATCCATCAAGAATAAAAACATCCTGGTAAGACAAATGCTAAGAAGATAAATAGAGTGGACCTAGTATCCAATTCTAATTCTTGATTATTTATTTATTGTATCGCCTCACTGAAACAGCTAGGTGGTTACTTGCAAATGATTTATAATACTGAAAGGAAACATTTCTTTGCATGGTTAAATGAATTTTAGATGCTCTTGCACAAACCGCACATGGCATAAGTGTGCTCTCTGATCCCAAAAGAATCTCTCAGGCTTCTTGCCTGAGATGAACCTCTTGTGGGCAGGCAGTTGAATAATAAGAGAAGGAACACCTGTTCTTGTCCCATGTTTACTATAAAAAGAAGGTGTCCTTTTGCCTGCCTGCCACCTTTCAATGTACATTGGGAAGGTTCGTGGTCAGTGGTGGGTTGCCCCCGGTTCGGACTGGTTTGCAAGAACTGGTAGTAAAACCAGCAGGAGGCTCCGCCCACTGATCCGGACATCATCATAAGCGATCTGCGCATGCGGGCACGATGCGAACTGGTAGTAAAGGTAAGTAGAACCCACCCCTGTCCGTGGGGCTATGAGCGCAGTTTGGTTTCTGCTTAAGGCTCTCCAGTGTTAGATGGTAGGTAGCTTCCCCCAATGCTTGATTAATCTTCACGAGATCAAGATTCAGGAAAAAGGCACTTTCCTTCAAGATGACGATCACAGCAGCTCAGGCTTTGAAATCACCGGCTGCCCAAGGATATTATTGCCCCTCGTCTCTAGAGCAATTGAATAGTTTTGACGGTAAAGTGCATGTTGAAAAATACAAGTGGCACTCATTGAGAATGGGGAGAAAAGTTGATAACTTCTGGAGTGATAGCAGGTAGGGAAAGACTGCCTTCTTCAACACTTTCCTCCTCTGAAAGGGAGAAAGAAGCTGATAATGCAACAGGAGGTAATGCCACATTGCATATTACTTCAATGTGGATACCAGCATCAGACGGAGGGAGATATTCCTACAGCCAAACAGCTGCAGTCCTGTTAATTATCAGCCCCTGCCCTAAGGAGCAACTATTGCATTTTTAAGCACATTTTAAATGCAAAGGCAATATCTGGTTTAGTTTTTATTTTAAATGGGTAAAATGATTGCCCGTTCTCTGCTCATTTCTTCTTTTGCCTACAGCTTTTTATTCTTCGAGCCTTACATAATGCCAGAATAGGTAAGATCTGTCCAACTAAAAACACCCATCTTAAACAGCCTGTTGCCCTTCAAGAGCATTGGGCTGTAAATCCATCACCCCAGAATGTGCTTTTCCAATTCTGCGCTGTCCACCACTAGATATAAAAATAAAATACAACAACGCCTGAGTTAGAACGAAGTGCCTCAGTCAATGCCAGATATATGGTTTGCCCCTCTAAACACGACAGCGAAACTCACTGCTTATGCTACCTCATCTACGATCAATCTGTAAGAGAAATCTGATCCGTGTAGGATGGGAAGAGAATCAGATTTTTTTTAATCAAATATTTTTTTTAAAAAATATCCAACTCCCCCCAAACTTACCTCATTCATTATCAGTTCTGATTTTTTAAAAAACAAAATATGATTCCAACTCAGCGATGATTTGTAAGTTTCTCAGTTGTAAATTAAAAATGAAAACTAATAATTGTGCCTGTCTGAATCTAAGTCTTTGACAAGACTGAAGATGATTGTAGTATTATAACAGTGTTATAGGCTCACATCTCATCTTTGTGTTCTTGGATCATCATACTATCACATCAGCAAACAAATTGAAAGGGGCTGAGAAGATGTTAAATAGAGAATCAAGATAGGAGGATGTGATCAGTTCTCACAGAGTCAGGCAGGCAGGAAGGAAGAGACAAACTTGCAACCTTGTTGAGAGGCTGTGTGACATGTAAGAGAGTGTAAGAAGAAGGAAAATAAGCTTTCCCCACTTCAAGCACCATGAAAATATGTATGCAAATCTTATGCTTCTTTCTTTTACTAACCTTGTACAAATGTGCAGTGATCACTGGGGTAAGTTCTTTCTCTCTTTTCGTTTTTGCTTATGGGCTACTGTAATTGTTGAAGAAGTTGTGTTTACACAGACTGTAAATTTAGGGTCCGCTTACTATGAAAATGGAGTGTGAATTTTGGCAATGTGAGACAGAATGTTTTCTATTATTCTTAACTTAAATGGCATGGCTAATACATGTTTAAACTCTAACACTGAGATTTTAAGTTACCATTGAAAATATGCAAATCAAAACATAATAAAATAAAAATAAGGAAAACTGACTATTAATTAATTATAACTATTGCGTTTTCACAAGTCATGGAAGGGTGGAGGGAGGAAAAACTGTTTCACTGATTTCAAAGGCTTTTTAAAATATTCATAGGCTTGGAATAGAGTCTGAAATGGTAATATAGTATATACACCTACCTAAAAATGGGATTTACTCCTAAGAAAAGATACATAGAATTGGGCTGTATGTTTATGTAAAGATTTAAAAGTTTAAAAATGGCATGTTTAAAGGTTAGTTTAGTGAATATTGATGATCTAACATATACAGTTATATTCTTAATGTTCATTATAAAGCAAGTTTGAATTTCTTTAATGGTATTAATATATTTTTCAAAACAACATATTTTCAATATTAGCTATATAAAATCAGATCTATGTTTCTTAATCCCATCTGAAAATAGCTTACACATAACTATTCACAAGCTCCAAATTGGTACAAATATTATATTTTAAATATTATCCATGTTTATCCCAACATTAATATATTGATCAGCACTTGACAAGGGAACTTTTTAAAGATTTCAGCAACTGGCTCTATAATTTGAAAAAAAGAGAAAAACATTTGTGTAGATTTTCTAATGACAAAAACTTAAATTCTAGATCATCCTATTCAAGTAAAATATTGCTTGTGTGACTATTATTCGCATATATCAGTTAATAGATATAGTATTATCTGCAAAAGGTAAATTGAAATATCTTATTGAGTAAAGTTGAGAGCAGCATTCTCCTGGAAGTGATTACTTACTTATACTTGTTAAAGACACACGTGTTAAAAAAAATCCTGTTTGATACATGGAGATGGTCAAAAATTAAGAAGAATCAATTCCTGGTCCAGTCATGAAGCAGAGTAGTTCAACTTTCTTGGATGACAGATTGCAGATTCTGTTAACGGACAGCAATACACTGTCAGTCAAACTCATTGAGACTTCTTTCCAATATGGATAAGAGCATTTTGTAACCTTATGTACACGGGCTAATCTGGAACATTAGATCCAATACACATTGATGAGCGGTTACAGTTTTCCCCCATTTCTTGTAGAGGAAGTGTACAATGGCTTGGTCAGAATTATTGGATGTGATTTAGAATCTCTTGATTCTAAAAATCCAGATGCATACCATGTGGGACAGGAACTCACCCCTCACTGTTGGAAGTTGTTGAAGGTTAAACACACACACGGACACACACACTCATGTGGGCACACACGCATGCACACACACACACACACACACGTAGACAGACAGACAGACATATAGCCCTTTGTATTCAATTTTTGTATGGTTTGAAAATCCCTCTTCCTTCTTATAAATGATGGAAGTTTCAGTTTTACACTGAAATTGCTAATACAGGTAGTCCTCCATTTACAACAGTTCAATTACTGAAAAAAGTGACTTATGACCATTTTTCAAACTTATAACAGTTGCGGCATCCCCATGGTCACTTGACCAAAATTTGGATGCTTGGCAAATGACTCATATTTATGACAGTTGCAGAGTCCCAGGATCATGGGATCACCTTTTGCAATCTTCTGACAAGCAAAGTCAATGGGGAAGCCAGATTCATTTAACAACCGTGTTACTAATTTAACAGCTGCAGTGATTCGCTTAACAACTGTGACAAGAAAGATTGTAAAATGGAGCAAAAATCACTTAACAACTGTCTCACTTAGCAACAGAAATTGTGGTCGTAAGTCAAGGGCTACCTGTGGAAAGTGGGCTGTATTTTATTTAACTTAAAAAATAACTAGATGGGATTCTTCTTTTATACAATACAAGAATTTAAAGAGGAAGAAAAAATTAACAGTTCTCCACCCCATATAGAAATCTTATTATTGTAACAAAAATACACACATTCTACAGTATTTACCATATTTTTCAGAGCATAAGACACACCTTTTCCCCCCCAAAAAGACGGTGAAAATCTGGGTGCATCTTATACTCCAAATGTAGCCCCACCCAGCTTCTCAAACAGAGGTTTCAGAGGCTAAGAAAAGCATCAGAAATGAAGCTTCAAAAAAGAAGCCCCCAAACAGAGCTTTTTTCTGAAGCTGTTATGGAGGCTTTCAGAGGCAGAAAAGAAAGTTTTTTCTGAGTTTCAGAAGTTTCAGAGGCAGAAAAAAAAGCAAGGCACAGAGCTCATAACCAAGGAACCTGTTGCTAAAATTCACCTCTGGGAACAGATGATTGGGGGTATTCCGGAAGGCCGATCCACCTGCTAATCAGCTTTTTTCAGGGGTGGGTTCTACTTATCTTTACTACCAGTTCGCAACGGGGCCGCGCACAACTCTGGTGCGTCTTATACTCCGAAAAATACGGTAGTTGCAATTTATTTATTTGTCAAATTTCTATAGCAACCCATTTCAGTCAAGGCAACTCTGGGTAGTGCATAACAATACATAAAAAGCAAGAAAAAAATATGAAGAACCATAATAATAAATATACTCAAAAATTGGAAAGCTCATAGTCAAAGGAAATAAAAATAACCCCTTCAATGATGAACCCATCTAGATAGGTCTTCAGTTCTATGGGAGCCTTGAGTCTGGTCACATAACCAGGTCTTAAGGGCCTTATGAAATATCAAGAGAGATCAGGACAATCTAATTTGGGGGGAAAGAGTATTCCAGCAGAGAAGACATGTTTCCTGGGACCCACCAAATGTTAATTCTTAGCCAAAGGTACCCACAGCATGCCTCCTCTGCCAGATCTGACAGGGCAGGCTGATATAAGTGGGAAAAGCCATGAAGGGCTTTAAAGATTAAAAGCAGCACCTTGAATTGGACGTAGAAGCAGACTGGCAACCAATGCAGCTCAAATAGCAGAGGTCTAATATGCATTGACTTAGGAGTGCCCATAATTGCCTCTGCAGCTGCATTCTGTACCAGCTGAAGCTTCCAGATGCTCGCCAAGGGCAACTCATGTAGAGCACATTGCAGTAGTCCAATCCAAAGGTGACTAAGGCATCAGTGACTGTTATCAGGACCTGATGATTCAGGAACTGTGGAAACGGCCTTCTAGCAACACTTCCACCTACTCCTCGAGAAGGACTCCAAATTGCATGTTGGGTCCGTCTAGGGCAGTGCAACCCCATCCAGCACCAATATATATATTTATTCATTTAAGCAGTGGGTCCCCAAAACCAAAGATATTTGGTCTTGTCAGGGTTTAATAAAGCCTGTTGTTTCTCATCCAGATCCTCACAGGCTCCAGGCAACGAGACAAGATGTTCATCGTATCACTTAATTCACTAGGGGTAGAGATATACAATTGGGTATATCATATTTCCCCTAGTAAAACCTACTAAAATCCAAAGTCCACCAAATTTATTGGGCTTACAACATTTTCAGGGGATGATGGGTCATGTGATCAGAGCAATCATTTTTACTTCTTTAACACTTCCCCTGCCACCAACCCCAATGCCTTCATACAATCGCAGGATGCATATTAGTGGTTCTGGAAATTAAGGTTTGGACATATCTGGAGAACACTAGTTGGGGAAACCACCAAAATGTGTTTATGATTGCAATTTGTTTTCCTATTGATTCCTTTCAATATTGCTGATAACTTTATTAAAGAATCCTGCCTTTAATTTCATCATTAAAGGTATTTCTCAAATAAGCAACTGATTGGATCCATTGAACAGGATCCAATCGGAACACATTATGTTAACCTTCTCAATTATATTTTTTCTCAACTGTGTGCTTATCAGCCAGTTCTATCTGTGTGTTACTTTGGAAATAATCATATACAGTATCTAAAGAAAACCCCTTCTCACTCCTATGTGTCATATGTGTCTTCCTCAATCTCAGGTCCTTTACCAGAGGCCTGGGAATTTGAGGGTTCTGCAAAACACCTTAATTGTTCCTAGCACTGCCTTCTTCCTACCTCTGAATTCTATATATGAGAGATACACGATATGTTGAAAATGAAACGAAACAAAACAAAGTAGAACAAAACAAAAAAGCCCTACAGGTAGTCCTCAATTTACAACAATTCATTTAGCGACCATTCAAAGTTACAACGGCACTGAAAAAAGTGACGTATGATCATTTTCACACTTATGACTGTTGCAGCATCCCCATGGTCACGTGATCCAAATTTGGATGCTCGGCAACTAGTTCATATTTATGACAGTTGTGGTGTCCAGGGGTCCCCTTTTGCGACCTTCTGAAGAGCAAAGTCAATGGGGAATCCAGATTCACTTAACAACAACCATGTTGCTAACTTAACAAATGCAGAGGTTCACTTAACAACAGTGGCAAGAAAAGTTGTAAAATGGGGCAGAACTCACTTAACAAATGTTTCCCTGAGCAACATAAATTTTGGGCTCAATTGTGATCGTAACTCGAGGACTACCTGTATTTTGTGGCAATATCTCATGGGTTGAAATTGTTTAAAATTAGCCTATTCTTCTGTTATCTGTATTTAAAAATTGTTTCTAATTTACTATGCAGGTATTTCATTCAGATTTCAAATAGAAGCTGAATTCAGATGAAATAAAAATAGAAAAATAAAAATAAAAACAAAACAAAACTGTCTGAACAATCCTCTCAGAGTACCTAAAGGGATCTGAATTACAATCAAATCAAATAAAGGCTCAACTCTCTCAAAAGTATTGTAATAACTGGATACTCATATTCTTGATGAGTTACTTCCCATTCCTTAAATAGTTCTGATGACCTCAGCATGACAATTCACAGCCTGGCAGAATTTGATTTGTGTTTGTGTGGTGTTTCTT